CCCTAAGGGTTCTGTTGGGTTCTGACTGTATGTTCCATTGCCCTAAGTAAGTAAGTAAGTAAGTAAGTAAACTTTATTTCTAAAGCACTTTTCACAGACCAGGGTCACAAAGTGCTGCACAAAATAAAATAATAAATTAAAAACAAACATACAAAACAATAAAACACAGTATTACGCTAAAAAGCAAGTTTAAAAAAGTAGGTCTTAAGTTGTGTCCTAAAAGTATCTATACAATCCAGAGATCGAATGGTACAAGGTAACTCATTCCAGAGGCGAGGCGCCACAGCTTGAAAAGATCTGTCTCCTCGAGTCTTAAAGAAGGTCCGAGGAGCCATCAGCAAGTTTAGATTGGACGACCTGAGGCTCCTAGTCGGAACATAAGGCTGGATGAGATTCCTAATGTAGACTGGCACTTGTCCATGCAAAGCTCTAAAGGTCAGTACCAGGATTTTGTAGTGCATCCTGTAAGATACAGGCAACCAGTGTAAACTTTTCAGGATGGGTGTAATATGTTCCCTCTTATGAGTGCAAGTGAGCAGGCGTGCAGCTGTGTTTTGAACTACCTGCAGACGCGCAAACTCCCTCTTATTAAGACATGTAAACAGACTGTTACAATAATCCAATCTGGATGAGACAAAAGCATGAATAATCATCTCAAGTTCCCTAAGGGTTCTGTTGGGTTCTGGCTGTATGTTCCATTACCCTTAGGGTTCTGTTGGGTTCTGACTGTATGTTCCATTACCCTAAGGGTTCTGTCCTTGGTTCTGACCTGGGTTCTGATGGGTCGGGGTGTCTGGTTGAGAACAGGGAGGTGTCTCAGGTCTCTGACATCGTTTCCTCTCTCCGGAAGCTCCGCCCACAAGGAGGCATTCAGAGAGAATACCAGAGGTTCCACTTTGTTCTGAATCGATCTCTGTAGAACAGGAGCACAAAGAACAGAACCTGAGCAGTACCTCTCATCAGTTGGACTGATCATCAGAACCTAGAGGACCGCCTGCAGGCACCTCTTCGGGGGATACTGGGTTGAAAGGAGCACACGGTCCTGAAGATTACCAGCAGGAATGTGAAACAAACAGGATTAACGGTTCTGACCCGTAACCAGCTTCAAACAGCGGGCCTGGTGCGATGTTCTGAAACGCACCGGGCCTCGTGAGTCCGAACCAGTCGCCCAGAACATCAAAGAACAAAGGAGGTGAGTGAAACAAGGACAGAGTGTTCCAGTCCACCTGCCTTCAGGTCCAGGATCAGGACCCAATAAAACTGATCTGGTCTTTATCTGGTTCTGGTCCTAAAAATTCTTCAAAGCTAACTTCAAGTGAACAAAACTCCACCAGAGTCCACTGTCATTATTTATTAAATGGAACCCTTTGATCTACAGGGAGCCCAAACCATCAGCTTCCACCACCGTGCTTACAGCTGGAGGAGCTCTGTGCTGCAGTGCATTCAGGGTAAACATCTGTTCTCTGGTCTGGTTCTGGTCCTGAAGTCATAGTTCCTTCAGTTGAACCTTTCCAGACCCAAGTCATGCTGCTATGTTGTTTTTAAGAGCAAAGAGGTCATGACCTTTGACCTGCTGACTGAGGCCTGTAGAGTCACTGCATGGTCTGACCTTCAGGGTGAGGGTCACAGCAGAATCTTAAATGTTTTCCACGTGTCAATAATTGTCCTCTCTGTAGAACGATGAACTCAGGTGGTTTGGAAATGACCTTTGACCCTTTCCACATTGATGGAGAGCAACAGCTGCTCCTCTGAGGTCATTGCTGTTGACTTTCCGATCAGTTTGTGTCCTGATACATAAAACCCTCCAAAAGAAAGATACTGGACTTTTTTTTTTTTTTGCTGTGACGAGAACCCAAATAGTTTTTACAAAACCGAACACCAAACAGCAAAAACTGCTCAAAATCCAAACCTAAATCTGACCCTTGTCAGGACGTGGCGTCCATCAGCGGCAGCCTGATTACGTCTCGTCGCCGTCAGTCGGACTAATCTCAGCCAGCAGAACTTCCTCTGATCCAACTAATCAGAGGTTTCCTGATGTCAAACCCGACGTAAAGACTCCACAGAACCTGGTGCTTCGCCACAAGCTTTTGGAGAACTAAGTAACATTTCATCACTTCGACTCCGCTCTGAGGCCGATACGCAGCTCAGAACAACGATTCGATTCCCTGAACATACACGAGCGGCAAAAACGGACGCGATACGATTCAGTGTCGAATCACGATACAGCTCGATATTAGTTTGAGTGAACAGAAAGTTCTACCGAGACGTGATTCAATAAAATACAAGCAAATGAAAGATTCTGTCTGAGGCTAATTGTTCAGTGTGAATGTGTATGAAGCATCCACGCTTTTCAGCTATTTCAACAAATCATAAATCAAAATGTTCAGCTCTTTTAGGACAATACTGCTATGACTTTTGTTATTGGTGCAGCTTTAGCTTTTTGAAATATTTAGCCTTTTTTGACTTTTTTTTTTCTCATAGAAAATTAATTGAGCTCATTTTACATCCTTCAAATCTTTAGGTCTGTTTACATCCTTTTACTACTTTCACATTTTGTTCTGGTTCAGCTTCTTTTAGCTGCCTTCTGCAAATTTAAAACTATTTTCAGCTACTTTCAGCTATTTTCAGCTGTTTTGTGCTCTTTTCGGGTTCTTTCTGCTAACGACAAAATTTTTGTGCTTCTTCTAACCTTCTTTGTGCTAATTTCGTTTTTTTATGCTCTTTTCAGCTAATTTTTGCAAGTTTCAGCTTTTCCTGCTATTTCAGCTATAGCATACTATGTGGCAGCACAATGGTTCAGTGGTTAGCACTGTTGCCTCACAGCAAGAAGGTCCTGGGTTGAATCCTTGGTTGGACCTGGGGTCATTTTGTGTGGAGTTTGTTCTTCTCGTGCTTGCGTGTGTTTTCTCCAGGTGTTCCGGTTTCCTCCCACAGACTAAAAACATGCATGTTAGGCTGCCTTCAGGTCCAGGCCTCTCTTGCAAAAACAGATTTGTGATCTCAATGGGATTTGCCGGGTTAAATAAAGGTTAATAAATATATAAATAAATATAGCTTTTTTACGCCAATTTTATTTTTTTCAGCTTAATCCACATTTTTAGCACTCATTTCAACTTTTTTCAGGCTAATTCGGCAAAAATATGCTCTCCACTTCCTTCTGGTAATGTAAGCATCTTTCTGCATTTGTAGCTACTTTTCAGCTGTTTTTTTTTTTTTTTTTGGGGGGGGGGGGGTAGGGGTTGGCTAATGTCAGCTTTTTCAGATAATTTTCACTTCTTAGTGCAATTTTTTTTTTCTTTCAGCCTAATTGGGCAAACATGTTTTTTCTGATTTCTTCAGCTAATTGAATCTTGGTCTACCTTTTCAGCTACTTTTTGGCATTTTCTAGCTAATTTCAGCTGTTTTCAGAGAAATTGAGGCTTTTGTGGTAATTCCTGCTACTTTCAGCCTAATTAACTTCTTTCTGATATTTTCAGCTTGTTATACTTCTTACAGCTTAATTATTCTAGTTTCAGCTTTTTCTGCTATTTCAGCTACTATTTAGCTGTTTTATGCTAATTTGAGCTCTTTCAGCTAATTCCACATTTTTAGCTAATTTCAGCTCTTTCTGGTTCCTTCTTGTAGTTTAAGCTTCTTTCTGCCTTTCAGCAACTTTTCAGCCATTTTGCTAATTCCAGCTTTTTTTAAAGCCAATTTCCTAATTTTGAGCTAATTGCTTTTTATTTAAACCTATTTCAGCAAATATGTGTTGTTTCTGCTTTCTTCTGATAATTTAGGCTTGTTTTTGCATTTCAACATTTTTTAGCTAATTTCATCTGTTTCCCACATCTGTTTCCCAGCAAGTTATTCTGCAATAAGCATTCACATTGCATTTTTGCAGGAAATCAGCTCACAAACTTAGTCTTGTTTTTAAAATTACAAAATGCTTTCATAAAACTTCATCTAGCAGCAGCCGGCATGTTTAACACATTTTCAGGACCTCATCAGTTAGCATGAAAAGGTATTTTCTACACTATACATAATAAAACACAAGTTAACCTTTTCCTTCTGTGATATTAGCTGATCTCTTATTCAGGGTGAAGCACACATCAAGTTTGTTGTTGTTTACTGCAGTGCTGCTGCAGTTCTCCTCCTGAACACAAGGTGTCACCATAGAAAAATATAACGGCTAAAGCGCGGAAAGTGCAGCCAGAAGAACCGTCTGCTGAAAAACAAAATAAAGAGAGGGGATTCATTTTCATAAACAAATGTAATTATACTTTAAAAATTTTATAGGGGACATCTTTAGAAACTAAACTGCTAACAGACTCTTTAATTTAATCAATAAACGGATCAGATTTTATCATTAAAGATGTATTAAAAACGATGTATCCAAATTTAATTTAAAAAAACATTGGTTTGAAGCTTCTCTGCTGATTTATTCTCTTCATTGTGTTTGTGAACAACTCTTCATAAAAGCCTCGTCCAACCTCCACCTTCAGAACGTCAGCATGTTCTTGAGGTTCCTGCCTCAGGTAAAAGTCCTTGGCAGGTCTGTGACTCACCAGCAGCCCGACCCTCAGAGTTTCACACTTTTGTTTGGGCAATGACAGGAAACTGGAGTACACGGCATTTCTGTTGTGGTGGAAATGGAGGCGGGGCTTGAGGCTGGTGACATCAGCGGTCACGGTGAAGTGGACAGCTGAGAGACAGACAGAGTACATATGTGAGACGACACAGTGGGTTATCAGCAGCATCACGTGGTCCGTAGCTTCAGAATCTGAGCCTAGGGGTCTGCTCACCTTTGACCCAGAACACCTTGACTCTGATTGGTCAGATTAACAACAGAACACCTTGACTCTGATTGGTCAGATTAACAACAGAACACCTTGATTCTGATAGGTCAGATTAATGACAGAAGACCTCGACTCTGATTGGTCAGATTAACGGCATAACACCTCAACTCTGATTGGTCAGATTAACGACATAACACCTTGACTCTTATTGGGTAGATAAATGACACAGAACACTTTGATTCTGATTGGTCAGATTAATGACAGAAGACCTCGACTCTGATTGGTCAGATTAACAACAGAACACCTCGACTCTGGTCAGATTAACGACACAGAACACATACTGTGACTCAGTGGGAATAATAACCGTGTGTGTAATGTGATTTATCACCCACACAAACACACGAGGAAAACTCAAGGACACAACATGATGTCATCGTGTGAGTTCAGAGGCAGTGTCGTCATGGCAACAGAGTGACCTTGTTTCTAATTGGAAAAATTAACGATACACACATAAAGCTCCTCTGGGAGAGTGTGCATGTGTGAGTCCACTGAATATCAACAGGAGCTAACCAACATTTTGTCCTGCCACTCACTAACACACACATATGCACACACACACACACAAACACACAAAGCTGATGTCATTAATGACTATAATCAATAAGCTCGTTAGCGTCAGTGAGCAGCTGCAGGACAAACTGAGGGCGTAATGATGTGACCACACAGAGTGTTAATCTCATCCAATATGTGGTGTGAGGGCCGTACAGGGCCCCTGGTCTTAACCTTTCAGGACCCGCCCATCAGGTGAAGGATCAGGTGAAACTCCAGCGAGTGCTCAGAGTGAGAGCTGGATCAAACCTCCAGCAGGTCCAGGTGGACCCAGGTTCATGTGACCAGTGAATTAAAACATCTTGGCTCATAAGTTCTGTCATCCCCTGACAGAACTGAAAAACTTCAATGACGTTTAATATGAGCATGCTGCCGAGGCTGTAAATGAATAAAGACCAAAATAAATGTGTGTTTACTCACTGATGTTGTCACTTTTACTTTTCTCTCCAATGTTGAACATGTAGGAGAAACACACCTCCACCTGGATACTGAGGGACAGACTGTCAGCACCATGAGAACACACCTGAGCTACCCGAGTTCTCTCTGACTCTCACCAGAAGTCACAGCTGTTTGGGTCCACGATGACAGGAGAAACTCCGAGCGTTTTACTCAGCTGAACGACTGGACGGGACCTGAGGATCGACCCATCAATCAATCAGTTAGAAGGTTCAGGTGAGTGGAGACCTGCTGAGGCTGAGACCAGTACCTGAGGAGAGCAACAGTGTCATCCAGAGAGCCAACCAGCAGGTCTGGATATTTGTTCTCATCAACATCCAGACCTGCAGCCAGAGAGTACCCGAAAGTCCTGAATCCAGGAAACACGCTGCTGCCTCGGATCACCTGTACAGAGAAAGGTGAGGGGGAAAGGTCAAAGGTCAAACCGTTCACTGGTGCATTCAGGTACTGGTTGTGAGACTTACTTCAGTCCAAAATGACCTGTCTAAAATAATTTCTAATCTGTGGAAACCCTTCTAATCTTCAGGAACATTTCTAATATGTAGTTACATTTTTAAAATGAATGGACATTTCTAATCTGTAGGAAGATTTCTAATCTATGGAAACATTATTTGACATTCTAAAAAAGTTAAGTCTGGTCCTCTGGACATTCAAAAAACAAAACAAAAAAAATTGTAGAAACGTTTCGTCTTTCATCCGACAGACTTCTTCTTTCGGATGAAAGACGAAACGTTTCTACAATGTTTTTGTTTTGTTTTGTTTTTTGAATGGCCAGAGGACCAGACTTAACTTTTTTAGATTTTTCTACCTGGATTATTGAGCATGCATCAGGATTATTCGACATTACGGTTTGAGGATTTCATGAAAAATTGAAATTGGACTCAGGTTTTTGGACCTTAAACGCGTTATGATCTCAGATGAATACATAAACTTGTGAGACCTGGCTCGGTTCTGTTGAGACCCCCTTGTTGCTCCCGGTCCAGATCATCACACTTCCTGAGCCATGGAAAGGAGCTCCCACTGCGAAGTCTGGAACACAACAACCCATCAACTTGACTGAGTTTTGATTATTGATGATAAAGAATGACTTCGGAGTCATGTGCTCATCTCACCCTGAAACCCGTCCTGGTTCAGGTCTCCAGCAGCGGTCACTGCCATACCAAAAGCAGATCCAACAGGGCCCGTCAGAACCACACTGGGTTCAGAGTTCAGCTTCCCCCCAGCATTCATAAAGACGTAAACTGCTCCACCTGCCTCCGGCTGATGACTGAAGTAAAAAGGAGCGCTCACTAGCAGGTCGTTCCAGCTGCAGGACAGAAAATGGCACATTTCCTTCTTAAAATATTAGATGTTCCAGGAGCAGAAAACATTTTTTTTAATTTTCTTGTTGAAGTTGATGACACCAAGCGAGAGAAGCTTTTCTTACCCGTCATTGTCCAGGTCAAGGGTTGCCACAGCGTTACCAAAGTACGAACCCACCTGCTGACCTCGCAGAGTCTGTTTAGTCACCAGACTCCTGGATTGTTGGACCACCAGCAGCACGGAGCCACGAGCATCGTCTTTACTGTCCCGGGGAGCTCCTGTCCACAAACACAACAATCAATACATCTACAGAGCTGACTTCAAGGCTCATGATCGGCTCATGATGAGATCTCAGTTGGATCAGTAATGAAAAAACATCAAGCTTCACCTGTTACTATGGTGTCATCAACGTCAGACAGAAGACGACGAGCCTGAGTCACTGAGTATCCTGGACAAACACACGGTTCAGTTTTGAAGCTGCATTTCTTTAAATTCAAACAGTCTGTTGACTAAAACCAGCAGACGAGTCTGTTCATGGTCTGGTTTGAGTCAACCACACAACGGTTCACCTATATAAATGTTCCTACGCTGCAGCGCGGTCAACTGGCTCTGCTTCTCGTACGAATCAATGTATGGGTTCTTCTTGAGGACGTGCACATTTCCTGTAACAAGCGAACACAAGACATTAGATCAGACCTAAGCTGTTCAGTCAAAGCATGTAGCATGTAGCATGTAGCATGGAGCAAAAGGAAAATCTAATTCCAAATGTTTCATAACAACAGTACTGCGTACGGCACGTGACGCACCCGTTGCCAAACCATTATACAGCAGTCTGTAGCAAAGGCCCAGACAAGCAAAGACCTGTATAACTTGTGACCTTGATTTGATTCGCCGTGACCTTGAAGCAGGGGTGATGAAAAGTGTATGCAACACTCTGTCTAGTGATGATATATGTGTATGAAGTTCTGTTAAATTGTCTTCAGTGGATCTGAAGTTCTGGGCAGGACAAGAGAAAGTTTACAGACGTACTGAGACTTTTACCAAAATACGTCCGCCTTTCAAAATGCCGAACTCTTCCCATTTCCACAGGAGTGGTTACTGCTCCTCTTAAAGCTCAGGTCCTTGACCAGGCCTGGGAGCTGGAGGGTTTGGCACGTAACCTTATCCGTTCCTACAACTGCAGTATTCTGGAAAACTCTAACAAACTCAGCTCACCATCAGTTTAGTGCAGAAGCAAACATCTGACTCCACAGTGGATGTTTCACCCTGGATGGTGGCGTTCTTCCAGCGGCACCGCTACAAACCATCGTGACAGTGAACTGGAATCATCTTGGAGGAACAGAACCGTTACCTTGCCACTCGTAGCTTCCAGGTGAGCCGACGATGATTTCCGTCTCGCTCATGAAGGCGGAGATTCCCATGTTACACATGCCCTCAACAACTTCGTTGTCCTTGTGACTGCACGCAGACAGAAGGAGGATGGCTTTCATCAGTTCACACTCAGACGTTATCTGAACTTTGGATCGTTGGACCTACTGGCAAGTCTGCTCTGTTTTCTGCCAGCTCATGTCGTCGTCATCGTCATAGAGCTGGTCATTGCCTCTGAGATAACATTGACCAATCATCCGCTGGTATCTGAACACCCCAGACAGTTTAATGAACCGATGACCACAAGCCTGCCGAGACGAGGGACAGGGTTAATCAGGTTCATATGTGACATGTCAGAACGTTCATTAGTTTGTAATTATGTGAATTTAAACATAATTGAATTTCAATCACTTTAAACAGTTAATTGGATAACTAGTTAGAAAAGACTTAAAAGCATAAAGACTGGTTAGTTATTGATTAGTTAATAAATGAGTAATTTAATTGGTTATATTTTATTTATTTTCAGTAGCCGTTGGAGCAGTTAGATAATTAGTAAATCAGTTAGCTGTGACTCAGTCAGTTAGTTAAATGAAAAGTCAAGAACTCAATCAGCCAATCAGACGACAGACTCACCAGAACCCTCCCACCAGGCCGGCCCTGACTGAACACGGACACGCCCAGCCACATGTCCTCCATCAGGTCCTCAGCAATGTTCATTTCTGAAACAGGACGCATTGGTGTCACAGACTCTGAAGAACTGGGATCGTCACAGCCAATCTAATAAGACTCCGCCCCCTGCTTAGGCAGGCCCCACCCATCATGCACAACTCCTAACCTGTTTTTTTTTTTCTAATAAGAATGAAATAACCTACCCTTATATGGAACCAAAATACAGAACCAATGGTTTACTCGGTGACTGACGGGAGCACAGACCATCAGCCCTCCACCACCGTGCTGACAGCTGGGAGGAGTCATTTGGTGCAGTGCATTTTGGGTAAACATCTGACCTTTGATCTGGTTCTGTCCCAGAAGTCTTGTGGTTCCTTCAGATGAAACTTTCTAACACTAAACCGTGCCATGTTGGTTTTAGAAAGAAGAGGTCATGACCTTTGACCTTTGAGCTGTTGACTTAGACGTGTAGAGTCTGGAGTTCTCAGGCTTCCTTCTGGAGTTGGGCTCAGTTTTTTACTCGTTTCTGTACATTAATTCAGTTTTTCTCAAGAAAATGGCAGTGTGAAATGTCAGCCTCACCTGGATATATGAGCTTTATCCTTGTGCAGTCTGATGGGTCAGAAGTGACTGAGCAGCGGTAAACTCCTCCAGTTCGATTGGCTGGGACATTAGGCTCCGCCCTCGCTCTGGGCGCTCCGATGAACAGGCTGTGAGAAGAACAGGTGACTGATGTACCTTCATTTGGTTTATACCTGAACTAAACTAGGAGCTGAGGCCGGCTGTCAGAACGTTTAGAGGTTAAAGGAAACAGGACTGTCCAGGATGTCCTTGAACGCCTCACACACATTGTGTTTCATGTGATGTGTGTGTGTGTGTGTGTGTTGTTTTTTTGTCTCTGAATAAATGTGTCTGAAGGTTGGAGAGGACACACACAATCTGGGACAGACAAGGACAGACTGAGGGCATGCACTGTCTCCTCCTAATGAGCTGCAGTCATGTGACACAAAGTGGTCCAGTCTATTGGACTGGACCAGAACGAACCAAGCCTGCTGACCTGGAAACACTGGAGCAGCGTGTAAAATGTGTCCAAGCAGCTGTGAGATGAAACCAAAACTAATCTGTGTCTTCAGCTGTTTTACTGGTTCCGAGGGGGTTTGAAGTCCACATGGAACCAAGACCCAACAAGTCCCTGTGAAGTGGGTCAGAGACTCAGTTTGAGGGTTTGGGGTAGTTCAGGCTGCAGGAAATGAAGCATGCACATTAATTTCCTGTGTTCAAGCCACAAACCAGTCGTCTAACTCTAAACTGGTCTGTGGTGATGACGTTACCGAGCTCACATGATCCAAACGAACAGAACCCTCTGAAGAAGCTCAAAATCCAAAGTCTTTAAACTCTGCTGAAAACCTGAGACTTCCTTGAGGACTTCCTGAAAGTTGGAATTTTCTGAAAGAGTTCTGGGAACTCATCCAGAACCATAAAGACCCATCTGAGTCCAGGTCAGTTTATTTGATAACAGCACCAAAGTGCTGTACATCAAAAATGGTGACACCTGCAGTTGTCAATGAAACGACAAATGTCAGGAAGAACAAAATGATAAAGTCATAAAATCCACCAATGATCTTGACCTGCTTCTTACATTTTTGGGTCACTGGTGCCCATGTCCAGTTATCACTGTGTGAGGGGCAGGGTACAACCGGGACTAGCCTCCAGTCCATCACAGGGACACCTGGGACAGGTCTCCAGTCCATCACAGGGACACCTGGGACAGGTCTCCAGTCCATCACAGGGACACCCGGGACTAGTCTCCAGTCCATCACAGGGACACCCGGGACTAGCCTCCAGTCCATCACAGGGACACCTGGGACAGGTCTCCAGTCCATCACAGGGACACCTGGGACAGATCTCCAGTCCATCACAGGGACACCCGGGACTAGTCTCCAGTCCATCACAGGGACACCCGGGGCAGGTCTCCAGTCCATCACAGGGACACCTGGGACAGGTCTCCAGTCCATCACATGGACACCTGGGACAGGTCTCCGGTCCATCACATGGACACCTGGACAGGTCTCCAGTCCATCACATGGACACCTAGGGACAATTTAGAGTTACCAGTCAGTCTAATATGCATGTTTTTGGTCTGTGGGAGGAAACTGGAGTACCTGGAGAAAACCCACGCAGCACGGAGAGAACATGCAAACTCCACCCAGAAAGGTCCCTGACCGGGATTTGAACCAGCGACCTGCTCGCTGAAGGCAGCAGCTCTACCAACTCAATGACTTAAAAAACAGACGCTAAATAAAATCGTCAAACTCTGATCGAGACGAAGGCCAGGAACTAGAATTTGATTTTTAACAGAACTTTAAAGTTACTGAGGTCTGAGAGTATCTTCTATAAAGAGGTCAATGACTCCAATAAACAAAAGCTTCATCAGCTCAACTCTTCTGGTGGTCCAGGATGAAGAAAAGATCCGGGAGATGCGATGAAGCCAAACCATTCAGAGCTTTACAACCGAACAATAAGAATCTTAAAAAGGATCCTGTGACAGGCAGGAAAACTGGTGTTCCTGTTGAACGTGGAGCAGCAGAGTTTTGCGGACGATGACCAGGCGACTGATCTTTGCTCTTGTACGAGGAGTTATCGAGCCTTCGGATAAATACATACGTTTTGCAAAGCATTTCAAACAGAAGCAGGGCTTCCTCTTGGCTTGGAGACAGAACTGAAACAAACCTTTGACAACTGAATGGAGCTAAAGGGCTGAGAATGTTAGCAGGGTTATCAACAACATCTGCCAAAAAAGACAACTTCTGTTTTGTTTTTGTTAAGCTGAAGAAAGTCTGAATTTGTTCTTGTTTTGATTTCATTCTGAGAATTATTATTATTATTATTTATCTTTATAGGCAAGTAAATCTGAATTTCACCTGCAAATCTGTGAAATAGGATAATAAAAATGGACCCCAAAAGCAGCATTGTAAAGAAAACCGAGCGGGACCAAGAAAGGAACCAAGAGGAATCCCACATGTTAGTGGAGCTGCAGCTAAAGATGGACCGAGGAGCTCCTGTCTGTCAGAAATTATTTGAAGCACTGTATCTGTGGTACCAACATGCTGTTCAAGTCGAGATAAAATGTTATGATCTGCAGCCTCAAAGCAGAATTCAAGTTTAACGGAACCAAAACCACAGAGTTCCTCGAGCCCACAGTAAGAAGGTTGTTGTAACCTCAGCAGAGCTGCGTTGTTCAGAATCACACTGAAACTCTTCAGAGATGCAGTGGAGCTCCTCTGACCTGAGCTTAGAACTTCTTTAATTGAAGATCATGTTGAGTTCCCTCGAAGATTCCTCAGAACATTCAGGACTCTAAGGACTTGCTTTAAATGTCCTGATGCTGCTTTGAGGTCACGATTAGGGTTAAAGGTCACTAAAGGTCATCTTGAAGCTCTTACAGGAAATGATCAAACCTCACTGATCTGGTTCTCCTCAAACAGTTCTCAAGGGGCTGATGTCTGATTAGAGCAAACACTGACGTTCTGATGGACACCCCCCCAGGGACACATGTTCCACATTCAGCCAATCCAATTAGTGAACATGAGGAGGCGGTCGTCATGGCGACCGTGGAGACAGACAGCTGGGTGACCTCTGGTTGAGCTCTGAGAGGCTCCTCATCGGGGAGTCAGAACACACGCTACATGTATGTTCTGTTTCAGGGTGACACGCTGTAATCAGCTGCTGCCTTCAACAGGGGAGGGGGTCTCGGAGTAAAACGGTACCACGTGACCCGTCAGCGCCCGATACCACAGCAGCTGCTCAGAATCACCGGGTCGGAGGCAGAACTCCGGCAGCCAACATCTGAGATAACTCCTCAGTTCTTCATTAAATTTACTTCACGTGAAAGAAAAGGTCCAACGGTTCAGAACCCAACAACATAAAGGTCCAATGGTTCAGAACCCAACAACAAAAAAGTCCAACGGTTCAGAACCCAACAACTAAAAGGTCCAACGGTTCAGAACCCAACAACTAAAAGGTCCAACGGTTCAGAACCCAACAACTAAAAGGTCCAACGGTTCAGAACCCAACAACTAAAAGGTCCAACGGTTCAGAACCTAATAAAAGGGGTGAGTGTTTTTTTTTTTTTTTACAGAGGAGTTTTAATGTTACCGTAGACCAGTAGACCAACCTGCTGATCTTCATGGACAGTCAGATCTTTGTGATACCCCAGAGTCCCTCCGAGGCCCCCACCTGCTGGACCTACTGGGATTTCCTCAGACTCTGGCAGAATTCAGACACATTATTAAACCTGCAGGGTGTTCACCTGATTCTGTGCCACCGAGCCGACAGCTCACGAACACGGTCCGGCTCAGGGTTTGGGTCCGATCATGATGGAGAACCATCGGAGCTGGTCAAACCTCAGACTCTGAGGTTCCACGAAGATCTGCAGCAGCTGGAGGAACTCACTGGGAGATAGAACTGGGCCAGTTCCAGGACTGAGACCTAGAGAGTCAAACCCCTCTGGTCTTCTTCAGTCCAAAGGTGTTGAAGAACCTGATGATGCTTTTGGAAACCTTCAGAGCTCTGCTCCGACTGTGAGCTGCAGACGTGCAGCTTCAAAGCCTCAGTTCCTCTTGATGTTCTGAGGTCTGACAGCCAATCAGAATACAGCTTTTGATTGTTCATCTGTTGTTCTGTGCTGGAAGCTGAGGTTCTGCATGACTGTGAGAACATTTGACTTTTGGGACACAGAGTGAAAGAAGACAGTCTGGTTTTTTATACCTGGGCCGACCTGAGACCACAGAAACTGAGTGCAGGTAAGAGCACAGGTGTGGTCTTGTTTGTTAGAGACAGGTGTGTAACATCAGTGTTTGTTGAGGCGAGCTTTGTGTTCACCGTGCAGGTGTCTGATGATCAACAAGACCCATCAAACATAAAGAGGACGTCCTCCCAAAGCTCCGCCCACACACCACCTCTACTCACATGGACGCCTGTTGAGAAGTGATGGACGTTTAATTCAGCTTCTTCTGTCACCATGAAAACCAAATTATTTTTCATGCCTCAAAATCAGACTAAATGTCTTTAAATTCAGAATTCTGCGTCTCATAACTCAGACTTATTAAATTTAGCGTCTCATTATTCAGCCAGTCCAGTAATTAGGACTTAATGTGTCAGAACATTTGTCTCATAATTTACATTTATCATCTCATAAATCAGACTTGGTGTCTCATAGATCAGGGTGGTGGTCCAGAGGTTAGAGGAGGTGAGTCATTGCAGGGCCAACAGCACCTGGGTGGAGGTGAAGCTGAATCAGAATCAGAAGTTCTTCAGCAGGAACTGCTGAGTTTACCTGGTGACACCTACGGAGGGCGGTTAGGGCCACGTTTTGTTTGTGGCCTTAATCGTCTTCCGTACTCATCGCCCACCTCCGAGGTCCTGATTGATCGGACCCTGCAGGTGACTCTGCCTGCACTCAGGTGTTCCTGCAGGTGACTCTGCCTGCACTCAGGTGTTCCTGCAGGTGTGCACTCACAGGTGACCTCTGGTCTTCAGGTCCTCGTGCAGAGCCACAGAGAACCCAAACAGACTGCCAGCCTCGCCCGTCTTCAGCACCGGGAACGACGTGTCGACGTTAAACGCCACGCACACACCGACACACACACTCAGCACTGCACACACACCCATCGCCATGGAGACACACACCTGTAAACAATAAAAACGTTACAAACGTGTTGTTTATCGACTGTCAGTGGCTTGTTGAGCTCTCTGCTTACCTGGATTATCAGAGGACAGTCCACTGCAGGTGACACTGGTTTGTTTGTTGTTTACTTCTGTAAACAAACAGTTTTTGTTTATTGATTCTGCTTGTTTCCTTCACCAACAGAAGTAGTTCTACACTGAAGAACTGATCCTGGTCTTTCTTCACCCTGACCTACGGTCCATCTACACTCAGGACCAGAACCGATCCCTGCTGATGAATAATTCTGTCACGTTAAAGAAGAAGGAAAAAGTCAAACCTGTTTGTTTTCAGGGTGAAGCAGCTTCCTGTTGTTTGTTTGTTGATGGACGTCAGCTGTCCTCTGCACTGCAGATCGTCGGTTCAATTCCCTGTCTGCTCTAACTGACCTCCTCCGTCTGCTGAAACACTTCTGCACGCGCTCAGAAACCTCTCTCTCTCCCTGTATGGGCTGCAGGTCTCTCTACCTCCCATCTCTCTCTCTCATTCTCATTCTATAGTCGTGCTCGCTCGTCCTGAAATGAAATCATGTCTCAGAGTTTTAACCCGCCCACACATACGCACGCACGCGCACACACACACACACACACACACACACATACACACATACACACACACACACACACTGATTAACGTGTTAAAATGAAAGTTTTTTTCCATCTTCCTGTCTTTGTTTCACTTCCTGTCTTTCTTCTTCTGGTTTTTAGGATTTTTCAAACCCAGACTCTAAAGAACCTGACTGAGGTTCCTCACCTGTCAGGTGAGGAGCTGAGGACTGAGAAGGAAGAGAATTGACAACAACAACAACAACAACAACAACAACAGAAATAAATAAATAAAAGTTGTTTTTTGTGTAAAACTCCTGGTCCAGGGTTGAAAGCCTGTTAAAAGTTCTGGTTTTGTTCAGGTTGGATCTCTCCTTTCACCTGACCCTGAAAGGGAACAATAGGCAATCAGTTGCTCCGGTTCTTACCTGTGACAGATGAAAAGCTCCAGGTGAGCTGAAGCAGGAAGCGCCTTATCAGAGCTCGTTCACACCTGAGGTTCCTGCTGCCGTCGCCATGGAAACAGCAGTTTCAGTAACCTGCAGGAACAGGGCCGGTTCTGACAGAGCGGGTCTCTCAGGAACGTCTGTCACCTGTGGTTCTGCCTATAGAACCGGGCCTGAAAGCTGGGACACGGATAATCTCACCTGAAGCTCAGAACTAACTCGTAGGTTCTGTTGACAGTTTCCAGCTGAAACCAAAGAGCAAAACCCGCCTTCTGTTTGTCAGAACCGGGTTCTGAAGCTCAGTCCAAAAACATTATCAGGTTCTGAAGTTCAGTCCAAAAACAAAACAAGAGACTGAGACATGAGTCCAAGCACGGTACCAGGTTCTGTGTTCCTGTTGGTTCTGGATCAGAACATCAAGTCATGAAACTGATGTGTCACTAAAACAAAAGTCCAAAAGGAAACAGCTGCACCTGCAAAGACCAGAATCAGATCCTGCAGAGCTGCAGAGTCCAGAACCAGATCCTGCAGAGCTGCAGAGTCCAGAACCAGATCCTGCAGAGCTGAAGATGAACGAAGAACCCTGCAGGCTGCAGCTGACAGGAAGTCCAGAAAACTGAAGACCAGATTTAAGATCTGAAATTTAATTTGAGATTTTCATCTGAATTAATTCAGTTTGTCTGAAATCTGCAGCAGGACGTCCATTAGAGACCAGCAGGGACGGGGTCCAGACCAAAGACCAACAGGGACAGGGTCCAGACCAAAGACCAGCAGGGACAGGGTCCAGCAGGGTCCAGACCAAAGACCAACAGGGACAGGGTCCAGACCAAAGACCAACAGTGCCAGGGTCTAAACCACAGACCAGCAGGAACAGGATCTAGACCATGGACCAGCAGGGACAGGATCCAGACCAAAGACTAACAGGTACAGGGTCCAAACCACAGACCAGCAAAAGAGACCAGACCATAGATCAGCAGGGACAGGGTCCAGACCATCCAGATCAGCCCAACAAACAATTAATTAATAGCAGCAACAACAATAACAATAATATTGACAACAACAAAAATAATAATGAAGTTACATTTTTTGTTTAGTTTGTGTTCATTTGATGAGTGGTTGTTATTAAACAACTCTGCTCTGAGACGACTTCTGTTGTGACTTGGCGCTTTATAAATAAACTGAATTGAATTGAATTAAAAGTTAAACAGAATTAAGTTGTTTCAGAATAAGATTTCTTACATGCCATCAGATGTTACGATTTTGTAAAAGCAGATTAAATCGTTTAAAAAGTCCCGACCAGCGTCTGACGTCGACACGTCTGTTCTGCAGTGACGGTCAGGAAACTATCGTTTGTCAAAGTTTACGGTTATATTTGCGTCTCATTAATGTCAGTGTCATGTTGATTTATAGACCACATTAAAAACAACGTTGACCAAAGTGCTTCACAAACAGGAAATACAAAAATAAACCCCCCGAAAGGTCAAACATTAAAAACCACAAGTAAAATAAAACGCTAAGAACAAACTAGAACAGAGAAACGGTGTTTAAGGCCGTGTGAACGATGAACGCTGCTTAAAGACGCTGGGGTTTGTTTTAACTGCGTCAATAGCTAAAGATGTGAAAGATGAAGCTGCAAAAAGCACAGAAAGAAAAATTATAATTACAGAAAAATGCTGAAATTAGGAAACAATGTTAAAATGTGTTAAAAACAGTAATTAGCAAAAAAATTAATAAAAAGGTTAAAATAGTCTCAATAAAGGCACAAGTTGAAAAAATTTACTAAGAAGTAAAAAAAAAAAAAAACCAACTGTGAATCAGATTTAAGAAAATATTAGCAAATAGCAAGAAACGAGTTTAGAACCATAAGGATAAGAAAATAAAGAAAAGGCTAGCTTAGAGGCAGAAGTAGCAAAATAATAGCAAAAAGCACAACTTCAGTATATGCAGATATGAAGACGTTAAACTTGGAAGAAAAAAGCTCAAATTAGCAGAAAAACAGCTGAACAGTAGCTGAGTCAAGAAAAAGATGCAATGAGCAGAATTAGGTTGAAAAACAGCAAAGCAACAAAAACAGCTGTAAAATAAACCATTCTTGAACAATGAGAAGCAGAACTGATGATTCCCACTGCTTAAGAACAGCTAAAACAGCCTAAAACAGCTAAACAGAAGCTGTAAATGGCTGAATGAAGAAAATGAGCTAAACAGAAGCTGTAAATGTAAATGGCTGAACCATCCTAAAACAGCCAAACAGAATCTGAAAAGGCTGAACCAGCTTAAAACAGCTAAACAGAAGCTGTAAATAGCTGAACCAGCTTAAAACAGCCAAACAGAAGCTGTAAAAGGCTGAATGAACCTAAACAGCTGAATAAAGCTGTAAAGAGCTGAACATGAGTTAAACACATCAGCTGAACTTGTTGAATTGTCTCCCAGCTGCAGAGTTAACATTCTGTTACTATGGAAACGCAGCAGGACGGGAGACCCAGCAAAAACTTTAACCAACTTAAACTCAGATTTTACAGGAACAGTTCAAGATATCAAAAAGCCGAATCATTTGATAGCAGAATGTCTGGTGTGAACTGTTTAAAAGATGAATGGACTTGGTGGAAGTCTGCTGAAATATTCACAGGTCAAAATAAGTTTTTTCATTCATTCAACCTTTATTTGTGCAGGCTAGCCTCATTGAGCCACGGGGACTCATTTGCAAGAAGGACCTGTTCCAGACAGAACATAAAGTACAGACAGCAAAACAGTAAACAATAACAACAATAAACTACAGTAAAAATGCAATTAAGAGTAGTGTATAAAACAATAAATCAAGGTGCTGTAAAACAGGGTGAAATATTAAAAACGAACATATCTGCTTAGATTTTTCTATTGACATTGTCAAATGTTTGAAACCCCTTAAAGAAATCAAGGTGGACAACTTTAGTTCCTGTTACAAGGTGTTCCAGGTGCAGGAGCAGAGTAGGAAAAGGCCTTTTTGCCAAGTTCAGTCCGCACTGAGAGAACGCTGCAGGTAATGATGTCCTCAGAGCAAATGTAACTGCACTGACGACGTGACGTGGGAGGAGGTATAAGAAGGTAGCAGACCAAGGAGGGCTTTATAGATGAAAATGAACCAGTGTGAGAGTCTACGCGTAGATAATGACGAGCAGCTGACCAGTGAGTACAGGGTGCAGTGATGGGTACGGTAGTTACAACCAGTTATGAATCTTAGCGCACCATGGTAGACAGCATCCAACATCTGCATGCAGCTGGCAGGAATATTAATTGTAAATAATGTATGTATGTTTTATTTATTCATTTCATCCAAACAACAAATATAATACAATTTAAAGAAAAGAAAAAAGATATACAATCACAGAAATAAAATGAAAGGCAGCAGAAGAAGAATGAATTCTTATAATATCTGCCCCTTGTCCCCAAAATATATTCCAAACAAAATTACTATACAAAAGCAAGATAAATTAATAAAAAAATAAAAAGATAAAAAATAATTAAAAAAACTTAGCTAAAATATAAGATCAACTGTAAACAATTTTTATGAACTCACATTATACTTAATAAAGCTTAATAAAGCTAAATAATGTCACTATAGTCAATGGAGGGAAGGAAAGCAGCAGCTTCACTGTGTTTTCTGGCATTCAGAGTTAAACAAGATCTAGTTCTGAAAAAGAAACCCCAGTTTTAATTTAAGTTTCTTCATCAACTTTTTGATAAGTGGTTTGAAAGAGATGTGCATCGACCAAAAAAGAGTAAGATATAAGATTTCATGGAATCCTAATGAGAAAATATTTAGCTGAAAAAGCTGAATTTTATTAAAAGGTTTAAGATTTGAAGACCAAAGGTTTATAGCAAGTGTCCTGAACGAGTTGAACGTTTTGATACCTAAATTGTTGAAATAGCTTAAAACCTGCTGGAGATAGATGCTGAAAAATGTCCACAAGACACTTGAAGAGGATTTACTGCTTTTGTTTTGTTTTAGGTTCATTCAGCCTTTTACAGCTTCTATTCGGCTGGTTTGGTTCAGCTGTTCTTGAACAGTGAGAATCATCAGTTCAGCTGCTCATTGTTAAAGAATGTTTGATTTTAGCCGTTTTTGGTGCTCTGCTGGATTTCAATGAACATTAATACAATGTCCTAATAAGGATGGAGATACAAATGTGTGTGGTTGTTGTGAGGACGCACACAGGAAGTCAGAGCAGGAAGACGCTGATTGCTGTTTGATGACTGAGATCATTAACCATGGAGGAGGTACAGGATGAAGGAGATGGGGGTGAGAGCATGGGGAGAACTTATAATTTTGACACCAACTAGTCAGCCATAACAGAGCAAACAAAATGAAGCAAAAAGAGTCTGGTCTGGAGGCCTCATGGTCCCACATGTCAATGGTCAGGTGGCCTCATAGATCAATGGTTTAATAGTCTGGTAGTCTCATGGTCCCATATTTTAATGAGCAGGTAGCTCAATGGTTCAATTGTTCAATGGTTTGATAAGTACCATGATGGTCTCATGGACAGGTCATTCAAGGGTCTGATGGTTCGATGGACAGGCTCCCCTGGCCCGATGGTTCAATGGTACCTTGGGTAGGTGGTTTGATGAACCAATCATTCAATAATCTCATGGTCTGATGGTTCAATGTTCCAGCAGTCTGGAGGTATCATGTTCAGATTGTTTGATGGGCTGACAGTCCTTTGATTTGATGAGTCAACGGTCAGGTGGTAGAATGGTCCAGTGGTCCAATGGTGTTATAACTAATGGGTTGATGGTCCAGTAGTCTAATTGTCCCACAATTCCATTGTTCAATGGTCCGATGGTTTGTTCTTCGTGCTTGTTCATAAAACTTCTATGCTGAGAGTTCTGTTTCAGTCAGAAACAGCGGGACAATCGTTTCCCACCTTCACTGAACTGAGAGGAACTTCTTTTAATCAACGCCACACCAGTGGCATTTTTAAATCACGACACCCCAAACCATCACGTCGGAGGACTTTCAGATTGTAAAAACCACAAAGCCTGAAGGAAACTTCAGGTAATTTTCATTATAGCTTTAGTGAAAGTTTGAAAACGAAATAATGATTTAAACAAAACGAGAAACAAACAGATTAAATAAAACCCTCACTTTTCATTTCAGACTTGTTTAAAAATAAATATAGAGTATTCGAATGAAATATTATTAAGTAGATCATTTACAACAAAGCACAAACCAGTTTGTCGATTACAAAACTTTAATGACACATTGTCAATAAATTTATGAACAAACCCTCATTGAACGTCTCTGTCTGGAGCACACTCAAAAGATTTTATACCCGAGCACAAAAACACAAACCATCCATCATCCATCCCTCCAGCCATCCATCCATCGAGCATCTTTACCTGCTTCTTCCTTTCTGGGATGAAGGGGGTCACTGGTGCCCAAATCCAGCAGTCATTGTGCGAGAGACAGGGGACACCCTGGACAGGTCTCCAGTCCATCACAGGGACACAGAGACAAACAACCATTCACTCTCTTTCTCTCAAAGAGGAACATTCAGAATGAGACCAAAAATATGTGAAACCAGACAGAAAAACACACAGTAAACATCTCAGAGACAAAGTTGAAGAGAAACTTTCACAGGTTTTTAGAAGACCAGAAGGTGGAGCCAAAATCCAGCCCAGAACAGTCCAACAAACAAACGAGACCTGAGATCAGCCAGTTTTTTTTTTTCTTCTTTGAACTGAAACCTCAGACCCAAATAGATTAAACATTTTAATAATTCCTGAATAAGAGTTTCTGGGTTTCCTAAGCCTCTTTCACAGAATGAAGAAGAACTTTATTTAAAACTGAACCTTAAAAGAAAAAAAAAAAAGTCTAAAACATGATCCAGTTTTACAGCACTTTTAGTTAGATGCAAGTCCAAACTTGTTTAGTTCCTACAATAATGTTTCATAAAATTTGTGTTTTCTGTTGTCACAGAGGTAGAACAGCGTGTCGACAACAGGCTGACTGAGGTTTGAAATAAAAACTAAACGGGTCGGACAGAACATGAACGCAGCAAAAGTATCCATGAGTCAGTTCCACCAGCTTCAGTCACAAAACTGATGGAGAACTTTGTGTTCTAATGAAGACTCGTGGTTCAAGCAGTGATCCAGTGACTGGGAACTGATGGGTAGTTCTGAGCTTGGATGGGAATGGATCAGGTCAAGACTGAAAGTGCATCCAGTGTAACAGGCTAATAGGAAACACAGACTGACATTGTTCTAGTGCCACCTGGCTGGACCAGGTCCAGCTAAGCCCACCTCAGTTGGGTCGGATTGCAGCGTAGTTCTTAGTGACCCCAGAAAACCTGATGAGTTTAACTTCTGGTTCTATGGTCTTGAAGTCCTGCCACAAGTACTCTGGTGACAGAACCTTACTGGGCTTGTTGATCCACATGTACCTGCACACAGAAACAGGAAATTCAATTCAAATTTCTGGGCGTGACAGTGACAGAGAACCTGACCTGGGGTACTAAAAGCAGCGTCTTTTCTTTCTGAGGAAACTGAAATGGGCCAAAATTCCTTAGCAGCTTATGATCAACTTCTATAACTGTGCTATTGGAAGTGTATTAACCTATGGATCCCTGTGTGGTTCTCCAGCTGCACTAAGGTGGACCAGCAGGCTCTCCAGTTGGGAAGATCATCAGAATCACTCTCCCGGAGATCAGAACTATCTATACAACCCATTGTCTGAGACGAGTCAACAACATCCTGCAGGACAGGGACCTATTCCATCTGCTACCCTCAGGAAGAAGGTACCAGTCTACAGGTGCCAGGACCACCAGAATGGCTCACAGTGTGTACCCACAGGCTGTGAGACTGTTAAATGAACAGCATCTCTATGAGACCCCACCCATTATCCTTACATCTCAAATCTCATCATGGCAATAACTGAGAAATGCATATTGCATTGCTGCAGCAACTACTACCCCTTCAACATCTGACTGTTTACAGTTTTCCTTTACTCTATCCTGTCCTTAGATGCTGTATTATTATTTGTGTTTACATGGATCATCAGAACCTTACAAAGTTATTTTGCTCCATGTGCCAATGTATTAATGTGTAGGTGTATGACACTCCATCAAAATGTTGTTGCTATTCATAACTTATTATTATGACAATGACTATCAAGTAAAGTAAGTAAGTAAATCAACACAACACAAACACGCCTCATCACCTGTGCTCTAACCAGTACCTGTTCAGGTGACTCTCCTCCTGCCAGGCGGCTTCAATGCCATCCTTGGCATCATCCTCAAAGTTCTTGCGGCAGGTTTTGGCGAGCTGGTGGACTTCCTGCACAAGTCCTCCGAACGCACCCCCGCAGTAGTAGAAGTCTCCATCACCATGAGCTATGAAGGCTCTGGAACTGGACCGCCGCTCATATGGGAAAATGCTGCGGTCATTCTTGTAGTAACCTAAAAAAGATGGAGAAATCACAGCTGAAGCTCACCTGGACAGGTAGAAACCTGGTTGAACATGTGTCGCTGCTGCAGGGCCACAAGATCCCAAACAGGGAAATCTTTAGTTTTTACATCCCAAAAAGTTTTTCAGAACCTTTTAAAACAGAATTTGCACACACAAAAAAACCAAACAAACAACCAGTTATCTGTGTGGAAATGGTCAGTGGCGGAGGATTAAATGGTCTGAGTGATGACAGCAAAGCAAAGGGTCAACAGTTGAACATTTAGAGTGAAGGGTCAGCGGTTGAAAGTTTATTGTGAAGGGTCACTAATTGAACATTCGGAGCGAAGGGTCAACAGTGGAATTCTTGAAGCAAACAATCTAACATTTAATGTTATATCATTGTTGTTTTTCTTGTAAATTGTTCAAGAGACACGGTTAAGCTGTGCGTGCTTGTACCGGCAGATTGTTTTTTTTTTTTGGGGGGGGGGGGGGGGGGGGGGGGGGGGGGTGGCCCCACGAGGGCGCCGCCAAGGCAGGGGGGGGGAAGACGAAAACCGAGGCTGGGTCGCTGT